TAGATGTCGCCAATACCAAATTTCGCTGTTTGCTGCCCGAAGAATTAAGAACATCATCACCTAAGTCGGCTACGCTTTTATGATCCACATATGTATACTAGAACATTGATAATCCGTCCCTTTTATGTTCAGAAAAAAAGAAAAAAAGAGTGTATGAACATCTTTTTTCGTTACACTGTATTATTGGTGAAAATCCTGATTGACGTCAATCATCATCTACTGTGAGTGTTACATGTTTTTTTATATATATATATCTTATTGTCTGCTTGCTCCTTCCTATGATATTCGTCGCAGCAATATTTGTCTAACTGATTACTCATCCCCCCCATCCCTTGTGTTATTAAGTTTCGTTTTTTCTTTCTTATCTTACTTTTGCATCTTGTATATTTGTAAATAAATTATTTCTATTATAAATTCTCGTTTTGTCTCTTATCGTTCTGTGTCCACGCATTTTATATTTCTTGCTGTGTGCACCGGAGTCTGGATTCGGAGAATTCCCCTCCCACTGTTCTTTTTCTTTATATTTACATTGAACCCTGCGATCTCTTATTTATTTTTTTTATTTTCCCGTAGCGTCTCAGCTATCGTAGTCCTAACGAAACCCCATGTAACAGAATATATATATATATATATATATATATATATATATATATATATATATATATATATATATATATATATGTGTGTGTGTGTGTGTGTGTGTGTGTGTGTGTGTATTAAGCTGAATATAGTCGCCAAGATACATGGACACAGTCAGTTTTCAATTTGCGTCTGATGATTGTATCGTACTTGAAACTCGGCGTTGTGCTTCCAACGAAGCAAATGAAACAAAATATATATAATTTACACGCACGCACACACACACACACACACACACACACACACACACACACACACACACACACACACGAGCGCGAATAAAAATGAACCTGACCCCAAATACCTAGCCTATAAATTAATTTTTTCAACTTAGTATAAAAATAATGGAAATCCGCTGTCAATCGCTAACAACCTCCTGACGAGTGAACTGAACGATTATAAAAAAGCCTCTAGAGTCGAGGTGCTAAATATAACATCAATCAGCTAAGTGACAAATTTTATTTGTATTAATCCTATACACGCAAACACACACACACACACACACACACACACATATATATATATATATATATATATATATATATATATATAGTGTATTGGGGCAGCAGATCAATAGTTAAACATATATTCTAAATATAACAGACATAATAGACATTATTTGAATTTTATATTTAACAATATATATATATATATATATATATATATATATATAGTCATTTATATACAAGGTTGTATATTGTTAATCAGTGTGGCTAGACGTCCGATTGCTTCAAGCCAGGATCGAAACCCGACACATTTGGCATCAGTTAGAGTACCTACCCCTATATATATATATATATATAATTGAAGATGCGTTACATATGACTTTTGTCATACAACTATCCATCATTTGTCTGTTTGTCAAACATATTCTTACAGAACTGAATGACTAAATGCTAAAGATACTGAAATGGTCTCAACCGGATTAAGCGGGAATTTTAAAAAATTCTGATATATAGTCATTTGAATGTGTTGATGGCCGACTCAGAAAGGAAACTACAGGACTTCCTAGATAGGGTGATAGAAGAAAGCGAGAGAAAAAAGGTGCTAACCATCAACTGCAAGAAGACAGAAAGTATGGTCATCAGAAAAGGTCAATGTTGCATATTACGAATTAGGGATATAATCATCAAGCAGGTGTAGAAGTTTAAATGTCTGTGAAGCGGTTTAACAAAGGACGATAAATGCGACACCCAAATCCGAAGTACGCATAGGTCTAGCAAAAGACGCATTTTTTTTTTCGTTAGAAACAAAGAAAAGATTACTGGATTGTTATGAGATATCTAGCCAGTTATTTGTTAATGAATGTTGGACAATCTCTCCACGGGGAAAGAAAACCAGAAGCAGATACCGAAAATTCTATGGGCAGAGTGAGTGAAGAAAGAAAATGGAAACAGAAATATCACTTATACTCAGAATCAGGAAAAAAACTGCTGAAATTCTTTGGACACATAATGAGAAAGAGGAGCTAGGAAAGCTGAACACGGCAAGAGCAAGGGAGATGAAGAACACAGTGAGCGGCGTAGAAGTTCACATTTTTTGAATTGGTTTAGGCTGAAAACCTTTTACCATTTCTTCATAATTTATAATGATAATAATAAAAAAATTATCTTAGTGTATTATGTTTTCGTTTGCATCGCACTAAGTGCAAAAAGTAAATTCAGTAAAACTCTTTTTATAATTATTAGTGCTAAACACGCACAGTAAATACTACACAAAATTTATTGTTGCGAGGTCTTAAAATGAATCGGGATTACGGCCATATCACGTTGAAAAGCCGGTTCCCTTCCGATCACCGTAGTTAATTAAGCCAGGTCAGTAACTAGACGGGTGACCGTTAGGGAATACCAAGTATTGTAAGCTTGGATGTGCGGGTAGTGTAATAGATAATGGCTCGGAATGAGAAATCGGAGAGCCGAGTTCTAATTCTATTCAGGTTCATTATATTCACTTCCATGCAAGTATCCTTGGCAAAGATATGGATTTACCTGTTTTTCTTCCAGCTATGGGTGAAATAGTCTAATTTATATAAGAAAATCATTATTATTTTCAAAAAATTCTCATAATTCAAAAATATGTTTCGGCATAAAAGGTTGATAAACCGTAAGAAACAAATCAATCAATTATGACGAAATCCATCAAAATCAATAACTATAATTTGAAAATAATTTTCCTTAAACACTTCAGGACATAAGTAATCATAGCCAGTGCCGGGGAGGGAATGTCAGATTCAGACTTCAGTCCAGCACTCAGATTATTTTCATTCCACCCCCTCCACGGCCAGAAAAGATGATGCTGTGACAAACAAATTCGATCTAGCGTGTTTTACAACACTGTCTGTAAGCGTGCCTGTCTGGTAGGGTTGTGATATGTTTAGGATACATTTTGTAAAGAAGCCACTCCCGCCTAAACCCCGAAAAGTATTTTCTTGAGGCCCCTCGGGATTTGAGGCCCGGCTCGCTTGTGCCGGCTGTCCCCGCACCTCTCACCACCACTGATTTATTTATTTATTTATTTTCATCATCTATGAATTACAATGAATTTTTGGTAAAAATAGTGAATTAGTTCATCGATGCCTACTCCATGGTTTGGAATTCAGTTTTCCTTCTCTTACATTGGTTACTAACAAATACTATAGAGCCTAATCTACGCCACTGACTAATACATAACTGCGGGTAAAAAGAAATGGATTCATGCATTTCCCAAGGTAGATTGAACACAACAGACAAGGCCGGAACTTGAACTTTGACTGCCAATTTCGCTTCCCTTGCCAATAACAGATACACTCACCTCACGTCTGCGGAAATTAATATTAATAACGATACAAATTTTAAAGAGAAAATGTCATTGCTAAATGGAGATAATTGCTAATAATGATAATATTAATAACAACAACAACAAAAACAAAACAACAACAACAACAACAACAATAATAATAATAATAATAATAATAATGAAAATAATAATAATAATAATAATGATAATGGTATAAATCCGTGAAAAAATTCACCAGTAAATGCAATAATAATGATAATAAAAACTAAATATTATCAGCCGACAAATTATGCATGCAAAAAAGATAATTTGCCATATTTGTGTTGGTTCGATTACAATTAAATTGATCTGAGGGAAAAATTTATTTGAATCTCACCTCTTAATGAATTTAAATTTAATACTGGCAGTATAGTTTAGTTGTTAAAAATGGCAATAATGAGAAATTTCGGTTGAACAATCATTGTGAAAAATTCGAATTTTTAAAAATATGTTAAAGTACCACCTTTAAAGACAACATTACTATTACTACGAGGACTACTACTACTACTACTACTTCTACTACTACTACGAGGACGACTACTACTATTATTATTACAACTACTAAAATAATACTTAAAAAACTTGTTAGAGCATTAATAATAATAACATTCATACAACACTTAGAGAAGTGGGCGATTTAAGAAAAGAAAAAGAAAAGATAGTATTTAATAATGTTTAATATTTTGACAGTATGTCTGTCTTTATGGAGTTATTTTTAAAACTTGCATACAAGTATAAAAAATATTTTAAAAAATCCAAGTCTTTGTACAAACGTCGCTTGTTTTAAGGGAAACGGTTATAGTGATAATCGACGCGACAAAACGAATGAAACGTAGCAAGCGTGAATGAAATGCAACTAAACGTGAGTAACATGATGGGGGCCGTGCTCATCTTGAAATTTTCCGTTTGTTGATTAGTTAGCAAGTGCAATTATTAAAAAAGTTTACTATAAATTTTATGAAATTCTCCTATCATTTTTCATCCTCCCGAGGTGGGATGTGAGTAGATCGCATATGTAATTACCCCTATGCGTTTTAAAGACTGAAAAGTCGGTGGGTACCGGATATTTTTTTCAGAATGTACACCATAAGATGCTTGTCAAAATTACAGTCGTGTGTGATAAAACGTTGCACAAGTTTCGTTGATGTCGTATTGTTGTGTTGGACATCATACCTCTGGCCATTAAACCATATGTTTAATGTTTCTGAGCTGAAACCTACATAAATAATGTCATGTTTGGTAGATTGGGTGGCGTATATCAAATAGGAATCAGTACTGTTGCCACTTTTTGAAGAATCGTAATGCTTCTCTTTGAATTTGTGATGGAATTAATAATAATAATAATAATAATGATAATAATAATTTGGCATCATTGGGAGTGTGCAGGTGACAAATGTGCTTGGAACAACTCAAGTATTGAGGAAAGAGTTGTCTCTTTAAGCAATGGTTGAAGCTGCGATATGATCATCAACACCGGTCTTAAATATCTAATTATTGGAAAGGTTATCAAATAATAATAATAATAATAATAATAATGATAGTGGGCCAATATCTGCACTGGAAAATCTGCAACTTCTACGGGAAGAAAACTGAAAGAAACTGGTATGAACACCACCCAGACCCGGTTACGGAGATAGAACCTGTTACAATTCTATGGGACTACACAATACACACTGACAGAACAATCAAAGCCAACCGGCCAGATATTGTTATTAAAGACCACAAACAAAAACGATGCCTCCTTATTGATATGGCAGTCCATGCCGACTGCAATGTATCTTTGAAGATATTCAAAAAGTTGTCAAAGTACAAGGACCTTGAAATAGAAATCGCGAAAATGTGGCATATGGGAACATCAACAATCCCTGTTGTAGTTGGAGCCCTAGGACTGGTTGGAAAAGATTCCAGTAGACTAATTGAAGGGATACCTGGAAGTCCATGCCTCAGGGAGATACAGAAAATTGTTCTGACAAGTACAGCCCACACCTTACGAAGGGCTTTATCTATGTAATCTTTTTCTTTTTTTTTTTTTTTTTTTTTGTCAGTGGAAAGTGTCATGACGCCATTTCTAACCTTAGGCCCCTGGGCGGGACCCGGAAAGAAATGTGTAAACGCCAGAAATCAAAGAAAATAAAAATAATGATAATAATAATGATAATAATGATAATAATAATAATTAAAACTTCCTTGAGAAAAACAATTTACTCCAAGCAGAACAGAAGGGATGTAAAGGAGGAAGTTGCGGATGCAAGGGCCAACTAATTTTCAATAAAACAATATTGGAAGAGGTGAAAACAAAGAAAAGAAACTTATCGATAGCATGGATCGACTACGGAAAGGCGTCCGACAGTGTATCACACTCATGGATGTAGATGAGCCTAAAAATATTCAGAGTATGCCCGACAATGGTCAAACGGAGATCATGAAAAACTGGAAGACTACTCTAAATCTAAACCATATAAACGGTCATTAACATCGAGACCAAACAATATAAAAAGCGGGATCTTCCAAGGAGATTCATAATCACCACTACTCTTCTGTCTTGTATTAGCATCAGTCAGATGCTTACTGAATAATAGTAGCTACGGATAAAAGTCACAGAATAGCAAAGTGAATTACCAGTCACAGAATAGCAAAGTGAATTACCAATTCTATATTGATGATCTTAAAACGCTTGCCAAGAATGACAACCAGTAGGAAAAAAAAAACGACTTACCATTGTCAAAACCTTCAACGAAGACATTAGGATGGTATTCGGAATCGACAAATATACCAAAACCATCTTCAGAGACGGTAAACTAACGAAAACTATGGATTTAGACCTTGATATTAAGGAACTAGACCAAGATTGTACATACAAATAATTAGTAATTAATGAAAGAGACGAAATACAAGATTCAATTATGAAGGAAAATATCCGAAAAGAATATTATAGGAGAGTGTCTTTGATACTAGAAAGCGAACTAAATGTGGCCAATAAAATGAAGGCTATCAACACCTTAGCTATACCCTTATTAGAATACTGCTTCAACATTATGAAATGGAAGTTAAATGACATTAAAAGATTGGATGGCAAGACCAGAAAAATGCTTACCCAGACGAGAATGCACCACCCGAAATCAAATGTTGATAGGCTGTATGTACCAAGAGCTTTAAGAGGCCGAGGTTTAATCCAACTTAAACTAACTCTACAGACTACAATAATCGGATTGGAAGCATACCTCACAAAAACAAATGACCCTCTCCTACAAACAGTAAAGCACCAAATCCGATCCAACAAAAAAGCTGCACTTTTCAAGAAACAACTTAATGTAACTGAAAATCTATCAACAAAAAATGAAGCTAATACCATCTACCTCAAAAGAGTAAAACAGAAAGGAAAACAACTTGGCCTAATGAAATTACAAAAAAAAAAAAAAAAAAAAAAGAAAAAGAATAAAAGAAGCAGATGTGGACAAACAGAAAACTGATGTCGGTGGATGAGGAGCACTGGGTTGAAAACTGAGATTGAAGGCCTAATTATTGCAGGTCAGGACCAAAGCCTCGCAAAATAGATCCTATCACTGTCACATAACTATGGAACTAACCCGATATGCTGGATCTGCGGAAAATATGATGAAACTATCGACCCTATTATCTCAGGATGTCCGGAACTAGCAAAAAAAGGAATATACTCACAGACCTAACAAGGTAGCGACGTATGTGTACTGGAAGATATACATGAAGCACAAAATCGAAACCACTGAGAAATGGCATGAGCAACAACCAGACACAGTTACCCAAAATAACGATGTAACTACCCTCTGGGACATGCCAATTCAAACTGACAGGGAAATAAACCCCGACAGACCTGATATTATCATAAAATTCAGGAAGTGTATGACATAGCTGTACCACCTGAAAGAAACACCTCCATGAAAATTATCGAGAAATTGTCCAGATACAAGGGCCTGGATATCAAGATTAATAGGATGTGGGGAATGAAGACTGAGACTGTATATATGAGAATAGTAATCGAAGCTGTGGAATTCGTGGGAATAGTGTCCC